GGGCTGGCCTCAAACTTGCTGGCTCGGGCAATCCACTCGCCTCAGCCTCCCAAAGTGCTGGGTTTACAGGCTGAGCCACCCAGCCTGGCCCTGATTCTGCCTCACCCCCATGACCACTGGTTACAACCAACTCTTGACAAAGCACAGAGAGCAGCTGCCTGAGGACACACGCAGGAAAGGAAACAGGGTTGTGGATAGAATCATTTAAAACTCAGGAAGGAAGCCTGTGAGGGGATGACTTTCCTGACCCTTCTTTTTTTTCTTGTGGCTTTGGGGACTGTTGGGTGGCATAGGTGGCTAAAGCTTTCATAGAAATCCCGTCTCTCTGGTCCAGGAACTAGATCCGGAGGCTCTGAGTTGGAGGTGATGCGAGAGGGAGGGGAGGGAGCTGGGGAAAGTGATTCCTAACTCTATTCACGAACCCACACAAGAACCCACACAAGTCTCGGGTCCACCCAGGCTGTGCTCTTGGGAGACCCCCAGCAGCCAGCTAAGGAATTGACCTAAGAGTTAAATCACAGTGGAAGCGTCAGCCTTACCCCTGAGTGAGGCACGTTCAGGACAGACCCAAGCAGTGTGGCAGAGGCTTTGAAAACTAAACTGAGATGGAAACTTGCAATTTGTGCTTAACCAGGTTGGCTGCCCGCTTGGAAAAAAAAAACCAACAACATTCTCCAGAGTCTGCACCATGTAACTGTCACAACGTGCAGGATAAAACAGAAAATGACCTGTCATACAAAGAACCAGGAAAAAGTGACCAATCCCCAAGAGGAAAGAGAAGCAACAGATACCAACCCTGAGATAAAACAGATGTTAGAATTATCAAAGCCTCTAATGCAGCCCTTACATGCTCCATAAGGAAAAGAGAAAAACATTTGAGATAAATGTTAAGATAGAAGTTTTCAGCAGAGAAACAGAAACGAAAAAAAAAAAAAAAAAGAACCAGGTGGACATTTTTGAACCGAAAATTACAAATCTGAAATTAAAAAAAATTCACCGGTTAAGTACAGTAGCAAAATGAAGATGTAAGAAAGAGACGGTGAACTTGAAGATGAATGAACAGAAATTATCCAATTTGAAGAGCAGAGGGGAAAAAAAGATCAGAAGAAAATGGGACCGGGTGCGGTGGCTCACGCCTGTAATCCCAGCATTATGGGAGTGGAGGTGAGAGGATTGCCTGAGCCCAGGGTATTGAGACTAGCTTGGGCAACTTGGTGAGACCTTGTCTTTATAATAAATTAAAAAACGACTTGGTGAGACCTCATCTCTACAGTAAATCAAAAAATTAGCCAGGCGTGGTGGCGCATACCTGTAGTTTCAGCTGTTTGGAAGGCTGAGGCGGAAGGATCGCCTGAGCGCAACAGGCCAAGGCTATGGTGACCGTGAGCGTGTCACTGCACTCCAGCCTGGGCGGCAGAGTGAGACTCAGCCTCCCCCCCCCGCCAAAAAAAGAAAAAAGAATATACCAGCATCGAGGATATGTGGGAAAATGTCGAAAAGTCCACTAGGCCGGGCACAGCGGATCACGCCTGTAATCCCAGCACTTAGTGTAGGGAGGCCAAGACGGGAGGATCACTTGAGCTCACATAAGAGGCCGCTTTCTGCACTCCAGCCTGGGCGACAGAGAGTCTAGGTTTAAAAAACAAACAAACAACCACAAACACAGAAAACCAGCAGGCAGCAGGATCCCGCAGTCCCATGCAGCTCCGCTGATTTACAGCAGTGGAGTTATTGCAGGGATTGGGCGGGAGCGTGCTGGGCACCGCAGCTTTGGATCTGAATTTCGTTGCTAGGCTTGTGCTGCGCCATGTACGTGCGGTCGCGCGGGTGTGATGGCCGAGCTTGGTAAGTCGTTACTTCCTCTCTGAGTTAATCTTGTCTGTAGAGAGGGGACAGCACGAACCTTGGCTTAACTGAGATAATTCACGAAAGTTTACGCCGTGAGGCCCAACACCGTTGTGAAGGGCGCGCGAGCCCTCGACAGCTCTAGACGGAGCTGGGGCAGGGATTCTAGAAAGCTGCAGACTGGCCAGGCGCTCGGCTCCCGCGGGGGCGGAGGGGAAGCGCTGACTCGCAGCTCTTGGCCCCTGTTTCCTCGAGACGTCTTGGCCGCGCTTGGCCTCGTGGTTCGACTGAGCCCAGCCCGCAACTCCAACTCGCCCCGCCACTGGGCGCCCGTCAGCGGCCTCTGAGGGCGCAGCCGGCTACGATGCTC